TGTGTGTGTGGGTGTGGGCAGGGGGCGGAGCATTACCGCAAATTGCGTAGCTAATGTTTGAATGCGTAGCTAACACGTACGTCAGTAAAACATGATCCACCTGCACTTCTCACCGTATAACAGCCGATCTGACGCTGTCTGTGCTGGCCCTCGTGACAATAATACAAGTATGATGTCACTGTAAGAATTCTACTAAAGTGCCCCCCCCCCTCCATTGAGGCTCAATGACAGGGATGGTAGCTTCCCAACGACATCCCCCCTCTCCTGACTGCGTCTAACAAACAGCAGCTGACACGGTTACGATATAAACTTTACCAACACCACACCTGGCTATGGAGGGTAAGTTCAACTAGCCCAGGTTTCATACTCACAGGCCTGGTGGTGTTGTTGTCCCACTGCTGCTCGCTCCAGGGAGTTAACGGTGAGTCCGCGATGTGCTAATGCTAAGCGCTAACATTGAATGCCAGCTGCTGATCGGCCGAGTAAAGCAGAAGACGAAATCGAAAGGTTTCTCCTCGGTTACTGTCATGGGCTGAAAGCTACAGACAGCAGCGCACCCGTCACCAGCGATATACAGACTGTGTGCAGTTGGTCACTTCTTCACAAGAACGCTCAGGTCTTCTTCAGTTGTTAGTAACTAATAAAAGCTATAAACTGCATGTCGCCCTCTGCTGTACGGAGTATGAAGTATCGCCATGTACATGTAGCAGCCATATTCCAAAAACAAAGAATGAGGATAAGAGTTGTATTACTTTCATGGAAACAATGATTCACACGTGACTTTGATTTCATAAGCAGCTTCCGCGAAACTACTTCTTCTGTGGTTTTAGGCCCGAGGAGAGGAAACACAGCCAAAGTTTTGTTTGTCTTCCTGAATTGTACCGCTGAGATGAGATGCTTATTGTTTGCCAGATTTAATAAACCGAAACAAAATATGATTGTCTTTGCTGCTATTTGGATGACCAATGTAATATCTTTTCTTATACCAAGAAATGTGGCGTAGGTTTACTAATATCCATGTTTAAGTTTACATTCCCGAGCAGAAAGATCTGTAAACATTTAAATTTAAATTCCTCTCCATATTGAGCCATGGGGCTCAGGTGTTACTATCAAATCAATTTCATAAAAGGTAACAGCCTTAAAATACAGTTTAAAATTGGGCACTTAGATACCCCTATACTGTATATAATCAATATGTTTCTCCACCTCACATTTGTGATTTATGTTGTCACTGAATCATTTTCTCCTGCTTCGTGTGAAATAAGATGAATGTTCATCCTTAATTTTCTAATTCCTAATTTTCCTTCTAAATAATTCACTACATGTCGACTATCAGGTAGAAAACTAATCATATGCAATAATCAAGATAAGTGTTTATGTAGTAGCCGTTTGTCAAAAACAAATAGTTTAAGTTTCAAATCAAACCTTTAAATTACAAAAAAATCAAAGGGCCACTGTTGCACCATGTTGTGGTGTACGTGGATGGGAAAAACAAATGTCCAAACAAGTATCCAATTTCAACAGAAACCCGTGGTTTATTTGACAAGAAAAGCGAGCAAACAATAACAAAGAAAATTCCTCCGTGCCTCTCCCGCTCCGGTAAAAAACCATATGCCCACCCTGGTGCATTCTGGTCCGTTACCGTGATCCTAGATATAATCTAACGTGCCCCCTAACGTGCCCAAATGAAACAAAACACAAATAATAAACACCAAAAAAGACCTAACCTAAACAAATAATAGAACAGAATACTAACAGAAATCTAATCACAATGAAATCAAATAAATAAATAAAGCCTCAGAATAATCAAATCTAAATACTCACTAAACTAAATACTAAACTAAACAACACTAAATACTAACAATAAACAAATAGCTCCAACAGTTTATGAAAGAACATTGGCATGAGAATGTACCAGAAGCAACAAATTTGGGCTTTTATGGCCAACTTTGTAGCCAAATTTGTTGTATCTTTGTACATTAAGCCAAAGCTGTGGTTAGCTTTGCTACTGTATGTATGTACTGGTTGCTGTCTGAAAGTTGCTAGTTCATTTCATAATAATCTACAGAGTTTATTTGTAGCCATCAGTTGACAAATATTCTGTGTGGCATGAACCACCTGTCATTTTCCTATTTGGCCAACGTGCTATTAAGGTTAAATAGCGCTAGCCTGGTAACATTGTCTTTCTTTTCAATCAATCAACCAACCAACCAACCATCCAAATTGTACTCGATAGCCCATATTCACAAATCACAACTTGCCTCATAGGGCTTACCGAGATGCAACACCCTCTGCCCCTATCTCTCACCTAGAGTAAGGGAAAACTGCTCCAAAAAAACCTCAGAGAGAGCAGCATGTGAGGGATCCCTCTCCCAGGACGGACAGAAGTGCAATAGATATAACAGAAGACATAAAAAGACAGTGTCTAGCATAAACGGAGAGATAAAGCAATGTTCAAAGCATGACCACAATTTATAGAGATGACGGGAGGCGGGTTAGTAAATTGAAAAAAAATCTTTGGGATTTGAAACTACTGCAAAGGGCATTAAACCAAAACAGTTTATGTTTCACATGTCTGCCTTAGCATGTCAACCTATTTTGTAGGTTAGCAGTTTATCCACCAGAGGTCACACTTTACTAATTTTTGTTGGAATCACAGAGTGGAAGGCAGGAAACATACAAAGTTCCTGCATTTAGCAATAATCACAATCTCAGTTTTGTTTTCACTGTACTGACTGAAATCCAACATGTCAAATGAAAAACAGTAAGTAGCCTCCAGCCCATTAGAGCAAAGTGAACTAATGCAGGCAAATGTGGGTGGATGTGGTGTAAAGCCACAACTTCATGTCCTTCAGTCACATTAGCTGTTTGCATTCTGAGAAAAAAACACATATGCATGCTGCACTTGTACTCTGTTAAAGGTCAAGTGTGGAAGATTTAGGTGAAAAGGATCTTTGGCAGAAATTGAATATAAAATAATCCTAGTGATGTTTTCACTGGTGTGTTTCATCTAAATTGTATGAATTGTTGTTTTCTTTACCATAGAACAGGCCCTTTATAATACATGGAGGGGGGTCCTATCTGTGGAGGCCGCCATGTTTTTTACTGTCGTCTAAACTGGACAAACTAAAACCTTTTGCATTTTCATAACACTGAAGTTCACCACAGGTTCTCCCTCATGTTGGAGGGGGGAGGGTGAGATGAGTATTCAGCTGCAACATGACACTTCACCTCTGTCACTAAATTCTACACACTGAACCTTTAAGTAAACAGATTAGTTCCCCACCATCTTCATATATGAAGGGAACTGTCTTTGCATGAAGAGCAGTTGTTCCCTCAGCCAGCAAAAAAGTCTCACTGCACTGCAGCTAATTATTCACTGTGTAGGTTTATAAATAGGCAATTTGTCGAAAACTTATTTGTCATATTATGGCATCACAAGAGAATTCTTCATTCACATTCAACTAAACACTGACTGTATAATGCTCTTAATGGTCAATCAATAGACAAAGATGCAACAAAACATTAAAAAAAACTACAAAACTACTACAAAATTATTTGTCATTATTCAGTCTAGGCAGAAAAATAAGAAGTCCATGTATTATCACCTTAAATTTGATTCAACAGTTAGCCAACATCTGCCTGTTTACACATTCGGAAAACATGGAGCAATATTAGAATTAATTTGGGGTGATTTTTCGAATCCCTTGACAACTCTGACTCTGATTATTCACTCTGTTTGGTTTTACGTTGGTCTCCACCAAATCAGGGCTGATGTGTGCAGTGGGTTTCTTCCTGAACAAAACCGCTGAATACAGTTGTTTCAATTGACCAAAACAATGAACCAAAAGCTCTTAATAAGCTGTGCAGGGCTGAGGGAAACTGCAGATGTATGTTATGTTTTTTTTGTCACCATCAATGACACCTTTTGCATGACATGTACTCATCACATGAACTGTTAATAAAGATAGTGATTCATTCAGCTTTAAGTGCTGCATTTAAAAAACCATGGATGATCATTTCAGTTAATGTTGTTATTTTCTTATTCTCTGCCTTGTGCGTGCTGTGAAAAGTGCCTATAAGTAAACTGTATTATTATTACTATGATTATTATAACATTATGCATTTAAGAACTAGAGTGCGTGTAGCCAGCCACCAGATGGCGATCGAGACGCTTTGGCTTCATTTTTGCGGAGCAGTCATGTCGTCCATCTTTACACATGCTTATAGTCTTTGCTTCAAAACGGCAGTTCTCAGACCAACGTGTGACGTCACGGTGGGTTGCCACTTTGTTCTGAACGCGTCCTGATCGCTGAGAGCGCGTCCTCGCAAGAACAGCTCTGAGCAGGAGACAGAAGAGGAGAGGGGACCGAACAGCGGACAGGGACGACACCAGGACTCCTCAGAGAAGTGACTGTCTGTCAGCCACTGACACTGGCGCGTGGATTACAACAGCTGCAAAGTTTACGGCTATTCTTGCAACATCTGGCTGCTTCCCGGGCTTCAGCAGAACATTCGATCCAGCACCATAAATCCACCGCACAGCAGAAAAGGTCCATTATTATGATGAGTATCAATTATATGACGAGTAGTTAACATGCTTCTGCAGATGTTTTTTGACTTCCCGTGTTGTTGTTGTTTTAAAGTAACACATAGTTTGTTTTTCTCGTGCCTGCTTTGCTTTGCATGTGTTCACGACACATCTGCATCAGTTGACTGCAGCTGCAGCTCATTCCTGCAGGGAGTTGGTTGAGAAGAGACAGAGTCAGTGAGAGTGATTTCTCACTGTGCTGTCACACGACGCTCTGAGTTTATCAGGCTTGTAGTTATCCACCAATAACTCACGTCAGTGGTGTAAATCTTGCCAAAATCACTCATTTAACTGCATTTTGTGGATATGAGCTGATGTTCAAAAATGACTTCTTTAACCGGAGCAGAACGTGGCATGCCTGAGGGAGACATTGCATGTGTCACCAGCAGGCCCGACACTAAGGCACTCTTTGACCGCTGCTGCTGCCTCTCCTGCAGGGGACTCTGCCCTGCTCTGCTCCTCACTACATGGCCCTGGAAAGGAAGGTGTTGGGGGAGACATGTAAAGATTGAGAAGCTCACAGTGTGTTTAGGCAGAACACACATGGTGGATCACTGGCTTTGTTTTTGAGGGTGAAAGTTAGTTAATTGTAATCATGCAGCTGGCAGACAAAGATATACAGTCTATGGTTTACCCACGTGACAGAGACACACTCACACTGTTGCTCAAGTTTAGTTTTGTTTAAGGCTGCTGCACATTATAGTCACTATATATTATAATGATATCATCAATGATAATCAGGCGGATTTTAGACCCGATTTGCCCCTTCTGACAATTGCAGGGGGGTTCCCGACTGGAGGTCACTCTTTGCCCATTATCTGCCCAAATAATCCTTAAAGATCCAGTGTGTAAGATTTAAGTGAAAGGGATCCATCGACAGAAATTTAACGGAGAATAATCCTCATGATGTTTTCTCTAGTTCGTTTCATCTGAATTGTATGAATTGTAGTTTTCTTTACCCCAGAAAAGGCCCTTTATATTTAAATACTTTATGTTTAAATCGAGGGGGTCCTCTCTATGGAGGCTGCCATGTTTTTTACATTAGTCCAGACTGGACAAACAAAACATCTTTTGAGTTTTTAAAATAACTGAAGCTACCACGGGTTCTTCATGTTTGGAAGGAGAGGGTGAGGTGAGGGGTGTGCCAGCAAGGGAAGTTACACCAACCAGATGTTGCGTACTTGTACAGCTGTGACTAAAAACAACCAAAAAGTTGTTTACAAGCCGCCATAAAAGAAACGAAAGATGACAGATGATGAAGTGCAGTGATTTCAGGGGACCTTGCATCAATTAGTCATTTGTCTGTCAAATTATCTTGGTTCTTTGACCATAGCTAGGAAAGCAGAAATGATTAAAGCAAGCTGCACTCAAGGACTATCTTAGAGAGGGGTCAGACACAAAGAAGAGTACAAGTGCAGGTGAGGAACAAACAGACTTGCACACTTGCAGAAACATTGACATGGTGTATGGAAGAAGTGGTCAAACGCTTGAGAGTTCAGATCCTGCTCACGGTCAAACCCCCCCCCCCACACTGCATGAAGTTACACACCTCAGATACTTTGGCGGATCCATTTTTAGGGTTCAACATATCACAAATGCTGCAAGCCCTGTTTTAGTGTTTTAGTATAAAGACCAAGCATTTTAGCTTGGGTGATCAAAAGTACATACTTTTGGAAACAATGACGCAGTCACTCACATTCGCTTCCTGATTGGGTCTTATCAGTCAAAGAAATCCCTGGTCTTACTTTTTGCACTTGCTGTTCCTCATTGATAGTATTTTGTTCCTTATTCATAGTATTTGTTTCCACATTCATAGTATTCTGTTTGCTGTTTACAACCGGTACATGTGATAGCTTTTCAGGAGTGTTGGAATGGACAGAAATGACCTCTGATATGGACTTTAACAGTTGACTGGATGGAGATAGTTTTTATTTTAAAATACTGCTTTAAAATGAAAACATAAAAGTGTGGACATAGTCTTAGTTATCAATACACAGTGAACTGATGAGACCAAACTCCTGCCTTCGCCCATTGTGATTATAAGCTGTCTTTACTCCTACTCTCACCCAAGCATGGAGCAGACACTTGACCTGCCCTGTGCTCTGCATTTTCATTTCAGTTTCCTTTTAGAGCCACTAATTGAATTAACCCCTCTGGTTGAATGATGGCCGCTGACCTTACTAAATAAAGGAACATGTTAGCAAAGTTTAATGAGTGATAATATAAAGGATTCTACGAGGTCATTAGGTGTCAACCCTGTGTCCTAGAATGTTTAATTATACAACTAAATAACTAGTATGTTTTTTGGTTAAAATGAAATGTAAGCAGATTGCCTTTACTAACAACCTAATGACTATGAAATATTGTTGAAAAATGTTATCATAGCACTGTATTTGGCAAGTGAGGGTGGAACTGAGTCATCGGAACAGGGGGACTGTAAAATACATAATTTTTTACAGTTTTTACTGGCTGTGTCACTAATTTACCGCTCCTCTCTGTGTCTCTTTCATTCTCATTCCCGACTGAATTCAGCCAAAGTGTACCCAGTCTGAGTTTACACATGTCCTATGACACCGTTTGTGTGAGTGTCTGGCTTCCTGAGTGTCAGCGAGAGAGACATGAGCAACGGGATCAGTAGTACTATTAATCAAAACTTTGAATTTGAACAGAGATGAATGTAATTGCTCCTCATAACTGTGTATATAGACATTTTCTTCACCCTGGGTATTTTCTTTATATTTAATCTCAGATTATAAAGTTGTCATTTTGTCAGTCCTCAGAAATGCACCTTTTTCTTATTTAGGTTTGGGAACACACTGCTGCTTTATTGCCTTGTTTGTGCGTGCCTTCTCCAGTGGATGACTTTGTTAGTTGTTTTAATAATCCTGGTTAAGTTGTTTGGATATTTCAGCCCTGCTCATGCAAAGATATGATAGTGATTATATTCTTTCAATTAAAATGTAAGCTCAATGCAGATGGTCGGGCACCAGGCTTTACTGGACTCAGAGGAAGTTGATGGTGTTTCTCAAGATTAAAGACACACATAACAAATACCTTACCCATCTAATTGCTGCTAATTAGAATAACCAAAGTTTCCTTTTAAAACCACTGATCATCATCTGCTTCACAAAATGATTTGGTGATATTTTGAATTCCATAGTTTGCGTCTCTTATGGTTGTTATGCTGATACTGTTATATGTATTTGTGAAACATGGAGTGCCAAAGGAAACTGTCCTATTTGCACAAATGGACTAGTGAGAACAGTGTCTGGATATCTTGGTTTCCTGCAGCTCCCAACAAAACTGAACTTCTTGCTTTTGTCCCCAACCAGACCTTTGTCTGTCTGTCTCTCTGTCCATCTCTGTCTGTCTGTCTATCTGCCTGCTTGTCTGTGTCTTTCTGTCTTTGTCTATCTGCCTGCTTAAACTCTTTTGCATTACTGCTGATGGCCGAGCGAAGTACTTGGTTGAAGTTTTAGAGAACTCAGGATTAATTTAGCAATCGAATCATAGCTGTGTGTGTTTTGCTGAGTGTTAAATGCTGTGAATGTGCTAATATTTTGATGTCACAGCTCTGGATAAAAAATAGAGAGAGTATCTCACAGTAAGTATAACTTGTGCTAATCATGAAGTCAGATTCAGTCATAAATTCATAAAAAATTCTGTTGAACTTGAACTACATACCTCACTGTATGTAACTTACTAGATCAATTATATGTAAGTAAACATGACACTGAGACTGAGGTGTTACAAAGTATCAGCCTCAGTTACAACTTTATATTACACAGTAGAATAAACACGGTTACAAGGATTTTACTTTTCTCCAATGCAAAACTGTCTCGTCAGACTGCATTAGTGAAAAGGAAGGCAAAGAGGAAAGTGCAAGAAACACCTCAAAATGATCTACAACCTTTTAAAAGAGAAGTTAATGCTATTGTTGGGAACCTCAGCATTGAAAACGAATTTGTAAATTACATAACTGAACTCACTTTTTTAAGTCATTCAAAAGATCCGTTTGGGAATATGTTTTCATTAATAGGAAGGTTTGGTCCCATGAATGAGGCTGTTTGTGGTTTTAATGTAGCCTTGGGCTTAACATGGTGTTCCTGTGGCTGATTAGAGCCAGGTGTCTACTCAGAAAATGAGGGTATTGAGGGCAGCCTGCTTCACTACAGAGCACCAGCTGCTGCCGTCTCAAATAATCTTGTGGGAAGGCTTTGCCGTAAAGCTAAACATGCCCTTGCTGAAATTAAACACACTCAAGAGCACAAATGATGTTACTGTTGCTCATTTGAAAATGAAATCTGGCACTGCAATTATTTTATGTTGTTGTTGGCACTAATTATGAATTGGGGAAGCTACAGAAGAGCCAGTGTCGCTGACTCATTACTGAGTTGCACATACTCCTGTGTGGTACTCAGTGTTATTCAATAGCAGTATTATTCCCAGCTGGGCATGAAATCCATTCAGTTTTGTAATGGAAAAATGAAAGACATACAGTAAATGTAGTCTGATGGCACATTTGTACTGTTGTTTTGACAATAACCTCCAACTACTTATTTTTGAAAAAGTATTTCCATAACTTTGGATTTGCTTGAAGTACTTGAACTGTGTCTCCAGAAAGTTTCGGCCTCAGCATAGGGTCATAGAGCAGCCAAAATGTTTATTGGAGGACCCAATCCTGCACAACTTTAAAGAGCCTCCTCTGGGGATATATCAAGTTAAGAGTTCTTTGTGGGCCCAAAAAAGACTGTGTGGTTTTGTTTGAGTTGGATATAACTTTAAATATGTTTAGTGTAAAACAACAACTCTGTAATGGGAGCGTGCTTATGTTTGTGCGTGTGTGTTTTCCTGTTGGGGCTTCACATTCCCATTACCCAAAAGTAAATAGCTCTAGGCTTTTTACCAGCAACTTGCAAAACCAGTTGATTGCATCTGCTGCCAAGAGCCAAATTTGGGGAAACAGCGCTGTGGTTCTGTCTCCTGTAGGGTTAACCCGAACCCTAACCCCCTTCCCAGTAAATGTACTGAAGAGAATTTGAATTAAATGCTAGTATAAACTGTCCTTTACAGCTCTCTTTTTATTTTACAGAGAGATGTTTCTCGCACTCATGTCGTTATCCACAGTACCTCACAGTGCTGACACTTTGAAGCAGCAAACAGGTGAAGCATTAAAATACATTATTTACATCACATACAGTTAGCCAACTCTGTTTCACATAACAAGAGCAGGAGAAGCCCCAGGTGTAAGCTTGTCTTCATCACTTGCTGCTGAATCTGTAAATCGGGTTGGTCCCAGACCAAGCTCCTTTATCCTCTTTTTTTCTTGGGTGTTTTTGTAAAGAATTCACCAGATTTGGTCGTAATTCCACTTGAGTATGTTTACCAGTCAGCTCGCAGCGGAGGTCACTCAGTGACGGCAGACATACTCGAGATGATGCAGAGTGTCGACCAAAGTAAACCAACACAAATTATAACAATAATAATTATAATAACTTTATTTGTTCTTATCAAGCTTACAAAGTGCTTCACAAAAAAATTCATGGCAAAAAGATGAATGAACTAAAATAAAAGGTATTCAATTCAGTTCAATTTTAAAGGTGCAGTGTGTAGAATTTAGTGATATCTAGTGTTGAAATTGCATGTTGCAGCTGAACACCCCTCACCTCACCCTCTCCTTCCAAACATGAAAAAGAACCTGTGGTAGCTTCAGTTGTCATAAAAACTCAAAAGGTGTTTAGTTTGTCCAGTCTGGACTAATGTAAAAAACATGGCGGCCTCTGTAGAGAGGACCCCCTCCATGTAAATATAAAGTATTTAAATATAAAGGGCCTTTTCTGGGGTAAAGAAAACTACAATTCATACAATTTAGATGAAACGAACTAGTGAAAACATCATGAGGATTATTCTCCGTTAAATTTCTGCCGATAGATCCCTTTCACCTAAATCTTACACACTGGAGCTTTAAGTGTGAGTCAAATCATAACATAATAAGGTCAAGACCTTAACATTGTAGAGAACACATAGATAGATAGATAGATAGATAGATAGATAGATAGATAGATAGATAGATAGATAGATAGATAGATAGATAGATTACTTTATTCATCCCCAAAGGGAAATTAGGCCACATAGCAGTTTGGTATTTGGATACAGTACTTCCCTCAATGAGCAGCACTTTGGAGACTGTGGACAGAAAAACTCCCTCATTAACAGAGAACCATGGAACCAGACTCAATGTGGGCAGTCATCTGCCTCGACCGGTTGGGGTGAGCAGAGAAAATGGGGAGGAGAGGAGAGATGGTTGGAAAAGAGGGGAGAGAAGAGAGAGAGATAGGGGTGGGGGGCAGGAACGGTTATGTAAACATGACATTTGAGCTCTTTCAGATTGGTTGTTATAATGAAAATAATAATAATATTCAGTTGTACCGTGGCGTCATCAGGTGTTTCAAACCTTTAATTGCAATAACATTAAAAGCCAAACCTGAGGGTGCGCTGAGGCTAAAGGTAAATCTGACTGGCTACTGGCTTGTATGGCAGTGGTATGAAAGCCATTACCTCTTTGCCTTTTTTTAAACTATACTAAATACTTACTCTCATATGCAGCAGAGTCAGAAGCTGTCATATTTAAGAAACTACATAAAATGTGGTTGCAATAAAAGTAAGATAAAAGGAATAAGGATATAAAACTACGCAGTAATCCAGAGTTACAAATCACATGTTAAAAATGCTTTCCTATAAAATACATGTGAGCAGTGATTTAAAGATTGTTAGTGAGCTAACGAGACTAATCTTGTCATGCAGGGAGTTCCAGAGCCTCGGGGCCCTGACAGACAAAGCCTGGTCACCTTTAGTAGCCAGCCTTGACCTAGGGACAGCCAACAAGGACAGGCTGACCGATCTTAGGTGCAACTAGGATTGTAGGGAGTCAAGAGGTGCGAAATGTAAGTATACGGGCCAGCCCATGTTGAGCTTTGAAAGTTATTAAAAGAATCTTAAAATCAATCCTGAATGTAACTGGCAACCAGTGAAGGGATGAAAGGATTATCGTGATGTGAGACCTACATCTTAGTTTTAGTTCAAATACAAGCAGCAGCATTTTGAACAAGTTGCAAACAAGTTACTAAGGTTTGACTGAGGCATGTATAAAGTGCATTGCAATATTCCAGATGGGAAAAGACAAAGGCATGTATTAGGTTTTCTAAGTCAGGGAGAGATAGAACTGAATAATTATGGAAATCTATTGTAGATGGAAGTAGCAGGAATTAATTATTTCATTAACGTGTGTTTTAACATTTAGATGGGAATCGAATGTGTCACCTAGATTTTTAGCTGCTGTTTAATATTAGTTGCCAGGGGACTGAGAGATAATAGGAGTTTGCCTGCTAGCTGATCGGGACTTAAGATAATTATTTCTGTTTTGTTTGAATTTAACTGAAGGAAATGAAGTGACATCCATTCCTTAATGGCAGTTAGGCACTCTGTTAGGACAGTGACGACGTTGTCTGGCTTAAAAGACAAGTAGATTTGGGTGTCATCGGCATAGGAATGATAGGATATGCCATTAAAATGATTGATGACATTTCCTAATGGGCATGTACAGCGAAAATAGCACAGGACCAATATTAGAACCTTGTGGCACCCCAGCACATCAGTGGAGCCAGTTGACATGTTATTTCCAATTGAAATATACATTTCTATACCTGAGATAAGTTCCAGTTCCAGATATGCCGGCGCACTTTGTTAGTCTATTGATGAGAATGTTATGATCAGTGGTATCAAATGCAGTACTAAGGTAAAGGAGCTGTAATACGGAGCAATCACCAGCATCAGCAGGCATCAATAAATCATTTGTAATTTTAAGGAGAGCGGTTTCAGTACTGTGTCGTTTGCAAAATCCTGTTGGCCAATTGGCTATAAAAGTGGGAGGGTCCGGGGCGCAATCAAAGAGCAGCCTCAGGTCCCATGGTTGCCAAAAGTATAAGGACCCCCATTCACATCCACTTGGCCAGTGCCCCACACCCAGAAGTATATGTAGACCGACACTAACCAAATACAATTTGAAAAAACTTAGATTGAATGCTCACAGGTGCTTATGGCCAACCAAGCACATTGTACAAGTGAACTTTTATTATTTAATTATTGTTTAACATTTTTATACTTTTTTGTCTCAGGATGTAGGAGGGTGCGGCACAATATATCTAAAATGTATTCTCATGGCAATATCAACATATACACATTGGTTTGAACTGTTATAAATGTTGTTCAATGTGCCATGCATTCACATGCTGCATGTCAATATACCTGGCCAACCGGGTGGAGCCCTGCTGCTGAAGATAATAAATGAAACATATTCAGACAATTGACGGGCCTGTCCTGGGTTTTTCCTGCATAGAGAATTGCGAGGCGGCTTTGCCTCCCAACAAAATTCTAGTACAGTGGAAACCGCTTATAGTGTTCATGTTTGTCCCGGACAAAATGCTGCTTATTTCTCTCTCTCTCTCTCTCTCTCTCTCTCTCACCCTCTCTCTCAGACTCTGCTGACATCTCTGACTCGCTACATTTAACTCACAAACTTTCGTTTAGTGAGTCAAATCTTTCTTCAGAGCTCGCTCTCCCTCTCTCTCTGACATGCAGACACACTCTGAGTCACACTGTTTTTGTGTGTGTCAGAGTCTCTGACACACACAAAAACAGTGTCATCAGTCATAGGTGTAAACTCAGACTGGGTAAAAACCACAGAATCTCTTAGTCAGCACTGGAGAGTCAGAGGAGATGGCAGCGTGATCAGTCTGGCTGAACAAACAGCATACAGTACAGTGTATTTAACTCTGTATGTTTACGAATATTATTTCTCTTTATTTTCCTAAATCACCAGTTTCACACTGAATGCAATGTGTTGTTGCACACTCCCATCAAAACATGTTATATTTGCACTAACTATACATCATATGCTTTAGTTGTGACAGTTTTTCATTGAAGGATTCTATATATTTAACATTTTTCATCAAATATATTTTGCTGTGCCTCCGTCATTTTTCATTGACTACAGGTCTGCTCTCTCTTTACCTGCTGCTATGTCCTCAGGTTGCTATGGTGAACAATAGAGTGGAGGTGCCTGCTGTTGCAGTGATGGGCAGTGGCGTGGGAACAGCAGGCAGATCGTGTGCAGGATGTGGAAGTCGAATCGCAGACCGCTTCCTGCTCTTCTCCATGGAGCGATACTGGCACACGCGCTGCCTCAAGTGCTCGTGCTGCCACGCTCAGCTGGGCGAGTACAGCAGCACCTGTTACAGCAAAGGAGGCATGATTCTTTGTAAGAATGACTACATCAGGTGAGCACTGCTACATCGTACAACTTTTTTAGCCGTAGTAACTAAGATAAGTAGCAGAGCATAGTGGATTGAGACTGAAATTCTTCAACCCAACCTATGTTTAAATCGATCTAGAATATGAGCATGGAGAGTACATATCACAATCTGTATATAATACTTTTTATCTACTATCCTGGTAAATGTTATCGTGTGGGAGATGTGTCAAAATGGTGACTTAAATGTATGTAAGTGTTTGTTTATATAGATCAAATCAATATAGATCTATAAACCATGAAGTACCAGTGATTTGCCATTTATTTTCGGATTTTTTTGATATAGTATAAAAGAGCTTACAAATTGTATTTTTCTAGAATCAGTTTGCTCATGAAAATATGGTAATTGACAAAAAGTCATGAGAAAATACAATTTGTCACATGGACTGCCGGTGAGATGGAAAAGCTCATGTATCAAAGCACAACATAGGTGACCAACACCTCAATATACATTTTTCACTAGACCTGACGTGTGTTCAAAGTAATGTTAGCTATAGGTTTAGGCTCTAAAAAGTGCATTGAAAGACAGCCCCTCAGTAGATTTCACACTTCTACCAAGGCCCAACAGAGTCATTTAAATTCACTATACCGATTTTTGTTTGGATCTGCACCAAATTGCACATACTCATTAACACAAGTCCCCTAAACATGCTAGATTTTTTTTTTTAAGCAAGATCCATGAATGATTCTCTGACAAATAAACACAAATGTTGAAAAAACTCATTTTTATGTCAATCGCTTCTGTAGTTTTTGTTTAATCCTGCTAAGTAACACATACGAAAACATAATCTCCTTGGCAAATGTAAAAATGCTTAGAAATACAAGGCCCTAATAAGGACAAATGCAGTGTTGTGTAGTGCCAACAAGGAGCTATAAAGTCTTACAGAATATTCCTTTTAATCTTCCTCTAGGGATAGAGTGATGAACTTTATGCAATTAAAATAAATCAGTCTAACTTGCATTACATTCATTTTATATTCAATATATTCAGAAACTTTGATCCAAAAAGCCCACCCTTAAAAAACAAAAAGGTGGGTAGCATGTTTATATTTGGAATATGCAATTGGTCAATTGATCAAATGATAAACAGGAGCTGAAAACTTCAGCCCCAAACGTCTGAACACAATGGACACAACACCAAGGGACATGAACAACCTCATTCAGCTAAGAACCTGCTCTGCCTTCATTTACGGCATGTCAAAAATATCTGTGTGCACAAAGTAATGAATCTGCCTGCTTTCATTTAATTGACTTACACTTACAACTGGCAACTGTACGGCCTAAGTTTACATTTTCCTAATCAGTCCAGGTGAGTAAATGGAGTGAACCCTGCAAGCTAGTTCAGTCAGCCAACTCGAGCTGCGCTGCTCAAATCATGTGACATACCTCATTCTTCACAATCATCTATTATACACACCCACCTTATTAGGGAGCCTATTTAAGCAGAGAGAAATTTCCCATCAACCCCTTTGCTTGCACTGCTGCTGCAGTATAGCTACCAGTTGACCCAGCCCATCCACCACCCCAGAATCCACCTGTAAGCTCCAGGGGGGGTTACAAGTATTTGCTCCTCACTCCCGTCATATCTGTGTAATCACATCGGGGGAGTGATTGAGTCACAGCCTAGACGCCAAACACAAACTATGTTCTAATGCTGCAAAAAACGGTTTAACGTGAGTTGTCTGACTGAACTTGTTTTTAGTGAAGTCCTGCTTAAAAAGTACCCATTGTTTTGTTCTTTGTTCTTAGTGTGCCAGTGTGTAAGAAGTGTCCATGGTCAGACTGGAGTTACTCAGATAGGGATTCTGTGGGCGCACACATCTCAAAATTCTGAATGTGGAAAGCTACAGCTCATGGCCTGCTGAGGTTGAACCCAAGACGAAGCAGACTTTGCATAGCAGTCCAGTAAAAATACAGTTTATGGACAGTTTCATGGTTATTTAAAGTTCTTTTATTCAATCTCTGATATTGATGGTTAAATGTAACTAATGGGGAAAGCAAGCAAGTGCATTCAGAAGCCTGCAGAAGTGCAAATTAACAGACCACAATATATTATAACTACAAACAAGATTGCACGGGGCAACTATAGTATGTAAAAATAAAAAAATCATCAAATAAAACTGTCACTACGCATCGCATCAGGTAACATTTACTTGGCTATTTAGCCATATATTAGCTTTAGCCTCCTCTGAATACAAACAGGAGCTGAACTTGATTCTATTCTGACCTTTTGTCGTACAATTACAGTTTTTACGATACAGTTTCACATTTCACACAGAAAGGGTCTCCATGTTTCTGGAGCCTGGAGAGAAGGGGGGTGTCTCAGGTGCACTAATTAAATGTTGGATTAAGATTAAAAAATCATTACCCTGTGCCCTCACTGAAGGACAGGCTGTGAGTGTAAGTAAGTGTCACAGTGCATTAGTTTCACAGGGAGCTGTAATGATGACAGAAGCTTCCAATTAAAATCATCAGCCTCCTGCAGCTCAGGTGCTGACACGCTGATGTGTGCTGCTGCATTCAAAGAACACAGAATCGTTGTTAAACATGTTCTCTGGTTTCAACCTGTTGTTTTTTTTTTTAAACTAAAAACCTAAAATGACATTCCCATCAGCTGTTTTTGATTAATGCCAGTAATTCTTAGCCAGCAAGTTAAACTGCACACAAACATTACCCTCTATCTTTCAAATCGCTAGCTGCACCACATGTGCGATGTGCTGCACAGAGCAGGCCATGTCAATAATGTGTATGGCCTCAAGACGCCACACAACAACAAATCCACATGGGTACGGTTGCTATGGCAACGCATGAACCATGACATACAGCTGGTAAGGGAACAAAGAAAAGTTTCATTAGACTTGAGAAAGAACAGCGGCTTTGTGTAGCCTGAAAAACCTCTGTATCACTCACTCTTGTGTGTGTACTTGAGGCAGCGAGTGACATGTTACAAGGAAGTCAAACGATAAACAGAACGGCACTGTGAGAAAACAACCCAAAGGTCTGTGTTGGCTTGTTATTTCAGGTACCAGTGGGAGGCCGCTTTGTGTCACAGATCCATGAATGATCTGGTGAGGACTCAATAAGGCAGAATTATACTGCTGTGGAAAGGTTTGATGGCTGAAATCATTTTTTCAGTCAAAGGCCGGGGAAATGACGCAACTTAATTTTAAAGTTGAATTAATGAGTGGCTGATGAATGTTGTTGATGTACAGGTTGTCAAATGGTTGAATGCCTTTCTGCTTTTCTGGTTTGCAGGCTGTTTGGACACAGTGGTGCCTGTAGTGCTTGTGGACAGTCTATACCTGCCAGTGAGATGGTGATGCGAGCGCAAGGCAGCGTTTACCACCTTAAAGTGAGGGTGACGTTGTAATTGTACCACTTGATATTACCACATCATTAACATTGTTATCAGTGTTTTAATCTTAATAATTACTTGATGCCATATAATTACAAATATCTTTTTTCTAGTGTTTTACCTGTGCGACCTGTAGAAACCGCCTGGTCCCAGGTGATCGTTTTCACTACGTCAATGGGACTATCTTCTGTGAGCATGACCGACCAGGGGGAGGTCTGCACAGTGGACACCCAACTTCACTGCAGCCCAACAGCATGATGTCTGATCAGAAGGTGAGAGGTCATGTGGTCATATCCATATCATGATTAGAAATTGTCGATCACTTCTTGTCATAACATATAACTGTTTGTTACAATTGTGTAATGTGCGGTTCGCTCTCTCTCTCGCTTGCTCGTTCTTTCTCTCAGACACTTCGACATGTCTGTGTCGAGTTAGTCTTTGTATAGTCAGTCGAATTAAATGGTTCAGTTCGTCTGGATCTTCATAGATAAATATAACTGTGTGTCATCTGCATAGCAGTGAAAAAGATTGCTATTGTTTCTAATAGTATTGCCTAATGGTAACATGTATAAATTAAAGTGTATTGGGCCAAGAACCAAAACTTGTGGGACTCCATGATTAACTTTAGTGTATGGTGAGTATTCATCATTAACACTAACAAAGTGGAATCTATTTGATAAATAAGACCTAAACCAGCTTAATGCTTAAACATTGGTTCGATCAAACTGTTGGCTGCTGCCTCAAACAGTAGAATGTAGATGCATAGAGCAATGGTTACATGTTTGAAGCGCACATTACCAATGATGCTTGTGTTGCACATTTTGACATTGACTGTCATAAATCACAAAGTTTAGTCAAATTTCCAGAATGATTGTGTTTCCATCTAATACCTTTATGTAAAAATTCAAGATAAATGTCCAGATAAACAACATCAAGATAAACAGCTCTCCAGAGCAACGAGATGATTACTTAAAGGTGGCCAATTCAAATGTCAAATGAAGACAATAGTTTAAGAAATCAGGAAAGCAGTATGGAGCTAGCGGATGGCTGAATGGTTAGACCACACACACCCTCAGCAGCTGGTTCCCCAGTTTGACTCCTGGCCAGCTGGACCATTTGCTGTGAGTCACTCACCTTGTTTCCATCAGAATGAAGGGATACATTTCCAAAAATAGATTTGAAAAACAGAAACACTGGAATGCCTCGTTTGATATTGGGGAGACACCTACACTCCAACATGATAGAGCTATCACACCCATGTTGCTGGATGTAAACGCACCGGCACACTTGTTAATAATAACATTAATCAACACCTGAAAGGATGTGATACAGTCAGAGGAATGGAAACATAATGCAGATGCCAGCATTTTTGTTTTATTTCTTCGTTTATAACGATCTCTCTCCAATGTTGACAGGTGTGCTGAGGAAGAGGATGGAAAAACCAAATGTGTGCCTTCTCCTCCACCTTCCTCCTCCGTCACTTCTTCACCCTCCTTCACACTGTGAATCCTGCCATTGGCAGACCTTCCACCATCCTGATGGACATTTACTCCACAGTCTGGATTTATACTGGTTTAGGTTTCAGCTTTCCAGCAGCAACTGACTTGTCTGTATAGGTGGACTGTGAATCTGGACATGTACTATGTGCTGTTAGAAGTTGGAAATTATTTATATGTTAGGCTGTTTATTGTGAACTGTGAGTGGTAAGAACTGTCATGGTAAATGGTGGAGAAATTGAAGCCTTATAACTCAACGTGACTCCTGTAGGAGGTGAATTTGTTTTATCCAAAATAACAGACCACACTTGTACTTTGACCAGTTTTGGGTTTGTTTTGATTTGTGAGTTGTGATTCCAACTACCGGATGTTTCCCTCCACACACAAGAGAAGCCGTTTTCAGACATGAACTCCAAGAGAGATGAAGCTATTGATTCATCCCAATCAATAATTTAACTATTTCTGGAAGGTAAAAACTTCTAACTTTGGAATATTTGCTTTTGAAAATTGTTATCACCACCTGGATGGATTACAATGAAATGTAGATCAGACACCCATGTTCCCCTCAGGATGAATTGTCATAGCTTTCATGTTCTGGCTTTTCGCATCATAAGGTCAAATTTAGTTTAAAAAATACATTTTAATTTCCCATCAGCCTCAAATTTACTTGAATTCATATGTCAGTAATCTGAAGCAAGCTAACTACAAGGTAAACATTACCCTCTATTTTGTATTTCATTGTTCTATGCTTTATTTACCCAAAAGCCTGTGATCTCAATAATTAAGCCTTTTGGAAAAATTAACTTTGCTCACAATTATTCAGTGGATGTACACAGTGATTCATAAGTGTGGTAGCAAAGCATCTACAGAAGTAAAGGCTAAGAAGGTCAAGGCTGTCTCTCCATATGAATGTCTTTCTTTGTATACTTCATTATAATGTACCCTCTTTTCTTCAGGTGTTGATGAAAGTTCATCATTGATGCATTTAAATTTATACAGTGTTTATAATTGTGTTTTGAAAGATTGTTCCAAAAGAGATTTAGCAGCAGTCACATGTGCTGTATACTCTAAATGTTCATTGCTGTGCAAATCAAGTCTTTACTTTTAAAACTACTGTTCATAGTTTGAGTAAGAGTGAAGGATGATTGAGATGAAATGTTTAAGTGCACTAATAACCTGCTGAATTGTGTGCTACACTATATGAAACATATATGATGTTGTGTTTTCTTTTTCAATTAAGTCAAACGTATTGCTCCAAACTGTGCATGGAAAGAAAATGAGACCTCTCAGAAGAGCTGTCTTATGTGTGATAAGGATGATTTGGCTAAAGCTACAGTGAGAGTTACAGATAGCTGCTTCAGACTGAGGAGTAAGTAAGGAAGGCTTTGGGTTCTCAGACAAACGTGGCTGATTACCCACAGGAATGGGATTTCAAAGGCCTGAGCCGAGGCCATTACAGAAGCAATTAAAGTGGGATGCGCTGGAGGCCTGCATCGGCTTTAGCTGCACTCCAGTATTTCAGCCTAATGAGGCCTAATCTGGTGAGGTGGTCTAATTAAAAGGTACGGAGTGCTTTCCTATGGGCATGCAGCAGTTTGTGCTCTCTAGCTTACTGAGCGGCAAACATACAAGACAGAATGTTTGTTTTTTTTGTTTTCAACCATATGTGTCCATTCTCTGTTGAAATTAAAACATTCAACTTGACATTTTCTAACACGTTTGCTGGTCTCTGGTCTTACTAAGGTCTCTACTCTGGTTTTTTATGTTTGCTTTTTGGCCTGAAACGCACCTTTAAATTAGCCCTTTTTTTTACTTGTACATTTGGCATGGAAACTCTGAGATCATCTCCATGCTAATTATAGGGTCACTCCTTTCCCATATTGTTTGTGTGGCTTTCTACTGAGCAGAAGTGAAATGCAGGATGGGTAGAGGCACACATGAGTAGCCAGCTGTGACTCTTCAAATTAACGGGCCTGGAGAACTCAGCAGCTCCTCTCCCAGGGTTAGTCCAATTAGCTTCACATTCACAGCAACAATGAAGCTTTTAATGGTTGTCTTTCAAAGTGCCCTTTCATAATGATGGAGGGTGAGTACATTCCTCTGGTTTTTCAGTGAGGACTCCAAACCTGAGTCGCACCAATTTCCCCTTAATCCACTTCAAGGCTTTTGTTTTGTCTTAGTTCACCAGGCTGTGGCATTAGATCACTGGGAAGGTATTACAGAAGAAATAATGAAGGACGATAACAGGTTCCAGTTTTAGAATATGTTTTAAACTCAATACACCAATGTATGTAGCTGTTTAGTTTCTGTATAAGTTTTAGTTGGAAGTATATTCTGTTGCAGAAATAGTTAAGTTCTACAGATGGAAATATCAGCTGGTCCTACTCATTCAGTATTTCCAAACTGAAATGTACTGGATGAATAGATGGTCTCCAGGTTAAGTGTTTTAATAATTTTGAAGATTCAAAGATGATTTTTCCTACAATTTGTCCAATATTTATGGTTTGTAAAACAAAAGATATATTTATTTTTGTGTGATTTAGTTTTTAATTTGCACATCAAGCCCCTGTCTGCCACTATACTGTTCTCATTGAGAAAACATTGATGCCAAAAACGTACTCGATGGTGGAAGGGAGTTTGGGGGTGTACTGCCAACATTTTATCAGAACATGAATATGTTAGCATGGTACTTAAGAAAGACCCTCTTCACATTACACATAGTTAATATCAGAATATTGATTGGTGTGATATTAAGGTAATACTTTGTATTAATACTTAAATAATTGCCCCACTGCCCCACATATCATTCATAAGAAGAAGATTTGACTTTTATTGTCATGTTTTTTACACTTTTTACATATGCATCCGTTGTCAGCGCCCAGGGAGCAGATGTTGGGGGGAGGGGGGCGGTGCCTTGCTCAAGGGCACCTCGGTCGTGGCGAGCAGGAGCGGGGAACGAACCATCAACCTTCCAGTTATTGGACGACCTGCTCTACCATTGAGCTTCACTATCTCTTATCTTTATAACATAGAAGATTAATACTTATCCATTAAGAAACATACAGAGGCTTTTGCCAAAAATGGGAAATGGAAAGCCTTACTTTACAATCCAAGTAGACATATATGTTGTTACTGTATGATATCCCTTACTCAGCAGAAGTGAGATTGTTAGCAAAACAAGATAGTGTTATGTAATGGTTACTTCTATTTTATTTATTATATTTTCAAATGTAATCTTGAAAGTAAAAGTGTACCTTGGTGTATATGAAGCACAAAGAGATGAAGATATGAACATATTTACTAAATTATCTTCTCACAATATTAACATCCAGCTGAAACATCCATCAATACTTCATGTGGTGTTATAAACCATATGAGACCAAAACCTTTCCTCTGTTTATCTTATATCTTTGCAGTCATACTAAGTGGATGTTGAATTTTTATTGCTTATAAATGATATGCAGATGTGTCTTGATTGGTTTAGTGTAGCATGGAACTTATACCACAGAGGAAATTTGGGAGACACCCCAATTACTGTGATTCAAATTGCCTTTTTGGTTACCAATTCTAATTTGCTTTGACAGTTACAACTCTAAGTTGTCTTCAAAATATAAGCATGTTTTTCTGCTGAAAGGTTTTGCATTGAGCTGAACTGCAGAGCTTTCACATTAAAAGTTGTGAACTCAGGTCTGAGGATTTAAGACGGATTATAAAAAGTTCTGCACATAAGGTCCAGCACCCAAACAGTAAAAGAGTGAAAGTATATTGTAGAACTGTTTGAGGAGGTCTCAGTAATGACAAGGAATAGCTCTAGAGCATTACCACAGGCTAAACAGGCAGATTTAAAAAGCCTCTGACCAATAGCTACAGTAAATGGACAAATGTTTCAGGTGTAGAAATTCATTAGTCTGATAAGATATCAGGGAAAACTCAAGAATTCAAGAAATTTTGACTCTAGCTAGCTTGTTAGCTGATAAATTAGATTACATTGCATTACAGATAACATGAGCATGAAGTAGTGTTTCTCCTCAGCTCTACATGATAGTTAACAGTGTGCCTTTATTTAACAGTTGATGGTCTGTGTTGGTAGGGAATAACATTATCAGTACCGTATTCTACATAAGGTTTGACCTTGACACTCTTCCACAGAAAGTGGAAGCAAGTTGTGCCAATTATCTTCTTGTTGCCAAAGCAGTCCTGACCTTAGAGTCATTTTTGGAGTGGCTGGTCATGGAGGCTTATTGTCTTGTTGCACCATCTTGTGGCCAGGATCAAGGTGAGTGAACTGTTGGATCTGTGTGTGAAGTTCATGGTTATTCACAGGAGGTTGTTCTGTACAGTATGTATGCTGCTTCCTAATGGAACCCTTCAACCAGCATCTTTTAATTACTATTTATTTATTTTGACTACCAGATATTGTTTCAATGTTTATTTCTATAATCATTTGTCCTTTATACAGAAGTTACAGCTTCAATGCTGAACATTGTCATGGTGTTCTTTCCCACACCATCTGAGTCATGGGGGAAGGTTTATTGGCTACTACTGTCTTGCATCTAATCTGTAGTCTAACACAGACTTAGTCATCAGTAATCAGGGGCTTTGTGCAGTGTGCACTGTACTGTAAAGCACTTGTGGTCATCACGACTAGAAAAGTGCTATATAAATACAAACCAAACCATTTAACATTGGGCTTGTTGCAAATATCTGGTATATCTGTTGGAATGGCAGGAATGTATCAATCAAATTTTATTTGTATAGCCCATATTCACAAATCACAATTTGTTTCATAGGGCATTAACAAGGTTTGACATCCTCTGCCCTTAACCCTCAACAACAGTATGGAAAAACTTAACAGTGGAAAAGAACGTAGAAACCTCAGAGAGAGCCACATGTGAGGGATCCCTCTCCCAGGACGGACAGAAGTGCAATAGATGCCACGTGGATTCAAGCCCATGACCTGAGACTCTGACTCAAACCCCCCCTTTATTTCCTTTTGTTCCTCTATATTACTTGTTCTTTCTCCATCACCCCAACCGGTCCTGGCAGAGGCCGTCCACACCGAGCCCAGTTCTGCCGGAGGTTTCATCCACCTGGGAGTTTTTTCTCCCCTCTGTTGCTCATGCTTGCTCGGTGTGGAACAAGTTGGATTTTGTGTTTCTTAAGATCTTGGACTTTTGTGCAGCACCCTGAGACAACTGTTTGTTGTGATACCGTGCTATATYAATACATTTGATTGATTGACGTGTAATGGAGAACGTCAGAGAAATAAGAGTAATTACAGCATTGGTTAGAGTAAATAGTTTGCAGCATGATGGAAGGTAAATGAATTGAGGAATTATTGTCAGCAATGGTCGAGTATCTGAGGAGATATTGTATGTCAAGCAGTCTTGTTGTAGTTACATGTTGTCCGTCTTTATGATCACGATCTCTGATTCGCGATCCACCATCAAATTCCATGATGTGGACCTGGATCTGCAAACGATAAGGCAGAGAGACTCCAGGGAAGAAGTCAGGTCAGCTACATGTATTGATGAGACATTCATTTATTTGATGTGATAAGGAGGGAGAAGAGGAAACAGAGGCTCCATGCTGGGGGAACTCCCATCATGCACTGGACACTTCTCCACTTCTCTCTGTCTCTCTGCCCCCCCACACTCATTTATTTATTTTAATACATGTCAATGACTATGTCACTTTTTCCTCCCATAGTCCCTCTCTCTCTTTTTCTCTCTCATTTCAGATGTCTCTGACCCCGGAACCTCAGGACAACAACTTTACCATTATTACTATTATTAATTACAATATCTCAGTAATTAATTATGATATGAATTGTGTCTGTTATCAATAATAATTAAATGTCTTAACACTGTTGTTTACATTTTAACTAGTCAGATCTGATACCTGATGCTGCTCAAGTGTTCCCGGTCTCTCTCGCCTCTCTCTCTCTCCCCCCCCACTTTCTCTCTCTCTTCTCTCCCCTCTTTTCCACCCATCTGTCCTCTCCTCCCCTTTTTTCTTTGCTCACCCCAACCAGTCGAGGCAGATGATGCCCACACTGAGTCTGGTTCTAGAGTTTTCTCTCTGTTAATGAGGGAGTTTTTCCTCCACATTCTCCAAATACTGCTCATTGTGGGAACTGTTGGGTTTCTCTATATTAATAAGAATTTGAAGGTCTTGAGATAATGTATATTATGATTTGGCTCTATACAAATAAAATTGAATTGAAATGAAATGAACATTCTAAACCAACTCTAACTATAAGCTTTATCATAAAAGGTTTTAAGCCTACTCTAAAAACAGTTCATTGTCATTTGTTATTTAACCCCTCATCGCATAGCAAGGTTTAACATCATCATCACTGAGTGTCTTCTGCCTCCCTTGATGGTACTGTAATAGTCTGTGTGGAGTGAGCCCATGAGAGTGCATTTTCGACATAGAGATCTTTGTCACACATTTTTTATTTGTTCAATTGTTTCAATCACCTTCATAATATTTTTGGTTTTGCGGTCCTACACACTCTTCTGCACTCCCTTTAGATCAGTCACACGGTCAAAACCCCATAGAGACTGTGTCTGCCCCCTGCCCGATTAAATTGAAATGATGAAATCAAAAATAAGCAGGGAAGGAATTAAACATAAGAATAGAATTAAATAGAAATCACCACAACTTTGTCAACCACGGCTGTCTCAGTAAATGTATTAATA